ACAAGCCAGCTTTAAACTATGGTTTAGGAAGCTGGCTTGTTCAAAGAAAGATTGAATTAAAATTAGAGGTGTACAAATTTGTGTTTTTGGATTACAACTCCCAGAATTCTGAAGGCAGCACAGCCACACCTCAAGATAAAATTATCTACTGTTTATAGTTTGGATAATGCCCTAAACTGCACATCAGTAAAGGCAGAAGCAAAAAAAACATCAGATTTCCTCCTTGTGACCACACCAGAATTGGAGATGGGAGTCTTCTTGAGCAATGCAGAGTTAGGCTCACTCCTTGTGACCACACCAGAATTGGAGATGAGCAATGCAGAGTTAGGCTCCTCTCCATTATTATAAACCAGCAGTACGCCAAGCACCGACACCTTTCACCTTGTATATGCCTCAGAAAATATTTATACAACATAGATATGTAACTCTCCAAGATTTGAGATCTGCTTTCTGTCTTCCCTTACCATTAATAGAATGGCCACACATGTATCTCTTACCAACAAAGCAGTCATGAATAATGACATAATACATTGTCCAATCCAAGCTGGACAAGATTTTTTTGGCATATTCAGTAAAATATGAAGAAGCTAAGGGAAGGGGAGGAGGAATTGGTAAGAAGCTGATGAAGGATAAATACACTCTGCTGGAGCTCAAGTTGTCTCCAAATCTAGAATCTGACCAGCTTCTGGGGGACAAAATCAGCAGGGAAAAAAAACAAGATCTTAAAAGAATCTGAATTAGTACTCAAAGAATGTGCGGGGTCATTATGATTAACCCTAATGATAACACATACATGGGCTGAATTCTTTATCAGAAAACCTTGCCAATGTGGACCCACAGCACAGTCCTAGTTTTCACTAGATCTGCACTTCCTTATTAAAAAATACTGCATGACCCAAGGAGGGGAAACATCCCAACACTCAGAAAACTCCTAGGAGAAAAACAACCATCTACACACAAGAACAGCCTAGCAGGTGTTTTTGCAACACCTGGATGATATAGATCAAACGCAAGGTTATAGACTCAACGGGAAACAAGTCCTAAAAAATCCAGATGTCGGTTTATCCATCCCGTATTAAACTGCAGCTTTGGGTGTGGCCAAATGGTTTCCAGCAGCACATGCAATTTGACAGAATCCTTTCTTGTGCGCATTGAACTCCCGAGACAAGCTGGTATGCTCATTTTCAAACATCTTCTCCCTCCAGATATATGAAACACAAATCTCAACCACCGTTGAGAATGCAACTTGAGTAAGAATTTGTCTGCAGCAAAACCTACGGTGCCGGACAATTGTTTCTATGGTCAGCGTTCCCAAGCTTGGGTAACCCCAGGCGTTCTTGGACAGCAATTCCCAGAAGCCAACTGTGCTGGCCAGAGTTTCTGGGAGTCGCAGTCCAAGAATGTCCGGGTTATTCAAGGTTTGGAATCACAATTCCACAGCAAAAGCACGGACACAAAGCTCAGAGTTTAGTATAAGAAACAATATGAAAGCTAACACACACTATATATGTAAGTTAAAAACTTGCAAAACCACTCCCCTTTCTAACCAGAGAAGGAAATCTGGCAAGTCATGGCATATAGAGCTGGAAGGGACCCTATGGATAATCCAAGTCCAGCACTTGTTAAGGTGGCACAGTAGAGAAACAGATTCCAAACCTGTGGCTACAAAGCCAGAGATGTAAACCACTGAGCAATCCAATCTTCAAAGGAAAGGGTGTTGCATTACTTTGGAGGTATCTTTCAGATATACTGCTGCACCCATAACAATTCCTCTCGGTTCCATGAGCTGCTGATGGAACACCAAGGATAAGGACCAAACCCTAGGTATCTTGCAGCATGAAGCTATGCATGTTGACTAAGAATTTTAGTTAAATTAGTTTCACACAGCTGCCTGCTTCTTACTAAGTGGCAGTATTTCAGTGGAAGAAAAGCCAGAAAGAACCTGGAAAGTGCAAGTCAATATTTTAGACGGGTTCGCCACTTTGATGCTTCTGAATAGCCTCCACGTGCCCAAGATTCTTCGCCTTAACTCTAAAGAGAAATTATGCAAAGTGATAAGGAAGGTTCCCTTGCTCTCACGTGTAGGATTCATAGTTGTCTCGTCACTGTTAACATGCATCGAGTTGCATTAACGGGAAGCATACAGGTCAAAATCTTGTTCACACTTGCACCAACTGATTATGGGGAAAAAGGAGTGTATAAATATGTAGTGGCCTCTCTCTCATTCATAATCTACTGTTTACATAAAACAAACACAAAGGCCACATACAGTTCATCTTCTGCTGTCAGAACTGAAGTGCCGGATTTCTATGTTATTGAATAAGCTCTATTATGGTTATATAGTTTTAAGAGTTATGGATAAAATAGCAAGCCAGCTGATGCAGTACATACTGGCACCCCATATTTTCAGTTCCACTTCAAGTCTAAACATATTATCTCAAACATTGCCTGCATCTCTTAATTTAGAGACAATTATTCAAGTATAGAAAGCTCTGCATAAAGTACACATCCATGTTGTGCTCGACACTTGCATAAGACAACTATAGACAACTACCCCATAAAGGGCACATTTTGCACAACTATCTGCTACACAGATATTCTTGAACTGTGCTGGTCGGGATGTTTGGGAGTTGTACCCAATAACATCTGGGGACCCACAGCTGGGCATTATTGGTAGGGATTATAAACAAGGCCGCGTCAGAATTTATAATGTTTTCCTATATAACTGATTCTTAGCACATGGAGTTGTACAAATGCTTATTCTGCAATATTTATGACAGATTAGTAACATACACATCTCCTCATTAGAGATTACCTTTCACGTTGGAAAATGCATCTGAAGCACCCCACTCTACCAGTTTCTACAACATCTGTCACTTGAACGCCCACTACAGCTTATTAGCGAGACGCCCTTTAGACACGCCTTAACACTTACAAACATGTACAATGAATGAATACACACAGGCAGAAATACTTAGTAGGAATCTGTGTAGAAAGAAGAGAGGTATGCATTAGATTTGAATCACTGCCGTCTTCAGGGCCACAGCAAAAGAGTTTGGTGGAGTTGTGGAGAAGAGCTGGCTTAACGCCATTAAATTAAAAAAATGTCACTTGCAGCCCACAATAATGAAGGCCACAATCTTAAGCACCATGCAAGTGAGGACCAGTTAACTCAACCATATACCCAAGCAAATAAAATCCAAAGAGCTCTATGTCACCCTGAAACCAGATCGATTTATTATGGGCACAGTCCCACCCAAAACATGTCTGGTAATACATCTCTTGGTCTTTAAGGACACCATTAGACCCCAGCCCTGTTATTGTTTTTGCTGGCGGAGGTTAAAGAAGGTTGGAAACTCTCCTGAACAATAATAAGTGCTGGCAAAAGACAAATATTAAGGGCCGTGGAACTTTCCAAAGGTTGAAGTTTTCAGGATGGGCCTTTGCCCTAAAGAGCTTACAATTGATGGCAGAAGGGAAAGCGGGAAGATGAAAGGAGTCGAAACCAGGAGAAAACTGTGATGGCCAGGAGTAATCTTAGTGGCTTAGGTCTCTGGCTGCCGAGCCACAAGTTGGGAGTTCAATCCCCCCACTGGGCCTCCTTGAGAGGGGCTGGCCTCCATCATCCGCAGGGTCCCTTCCAGCTCTGCCGTTCAAAGGTCCCAAACTGCAACTGGGCCTCTAATCAAGACCCACTGAATCTCTAGTGGGAGTTACAGCTCTTAGGCTTTAAAACCCTGCAATAGGGAACATTGGGTCCTTTTTAAGGAGAAGGATGGGCTGAAAATATTTTAAATAAATAACACACACACATCTCCAATCACTAGCTTATTGGGAACTATGACCCAGAACATCTAAGCATCAGCTTCCCCACCTCTTGATTTCTCCCTCTCTCTCTCTCTGTGTATACACACATATACACATACACACACAGTCATGTACACTCCCAAAGAAAGTGTACACGACAGTGAGTGAGTGAGTGTGTGTGTACACACATACTGTCATGTACACTTTCTTTGGGAGCAAACCCTACACATCACACTGTCGCGTGGGAATGATTCCCAAGCAAACCGGCCGGCTCAGGCAAGCCCAGGGTGGAGTGAGAGAAACCAGGAGAGAGAGAAAAAAAAGAGTGAAAGAGAGAGAAAGGAGGTGGAAACGTAAGGGGCGATGGGGCTCTTGCAGTGCCCCTATCATTGGGGGGCAGAGAGAAGAAAACCTGGGCCCTGCCTCCAAGAACCCCCCCCAAGTGGAAAACAAGGTCTTGCAATGGGGGGGGGGAATCGAAAAAGGGCCTTGCAATGGGGGGGAATCAAAAAAGGGCCTTGCAATGAGGGGGAAATCGAAGAGGTCCTTGCAATGGGGGGGAATTGAAAAAGGGCCTTGCAATGCCCCTTAGAATCAAGCAAGGTCTTGCAAAGGCCGGGAAATCAACATCTTCCTGAGGTTTTTTAAAAAAAGGGGGGGAGGCACACCTTCACGAAGCAGCGCGCCCTGTTTTGTTTTGTGTATTGTATTTCTTCCTTATTCATTTTATTTTGGGGGGGGGGAGAAGAAGCAGCGAGAGAGGCCTACTACGAGGGCCTGGAAAAGGCCCAGCAAAGGCCTCCCACACAAAAGGAGACGGAGGCACCGCCAGCCTCGGTGTGTGGGGGGGGCTCCCCCCTCCCTCCCTTCTTCCCCCCAAGGCCAAAGAGGGGGGGGCCATTCTGCGTATTTCTTCCTTATTCATTTTATTTTGGGGGGGGGGAGAAGAAGCAGCGAGAGAGGCCTACTACGAGGGCCTGGAAAAGGCCCAGCAAAGGCCTCCCACACAAAAGGAGACGGAGGCACCGCCAGCCTCGGTGTGTGGGGGGGGCTCCCCCCTCCCTCCCTTCTTCCCCCCAAGGCCAAAGAGGGGGGGGCCATTCTGCCGGCCCCCTCCCCCGCCTCCTCCCTCCCGTTGCTAGGCAACCCCAAAGAGAAGCCTAGGGAGGCAGCTAGGCCTCTCTTTCTCTCACCTGGGCTCGAGGGGCTGGTGACTGGGCAGCTTGGCTCCGGGGGTGGCGGCGGCAGCGGCGGGGGATCGTCTCCTCTTCCTCCTCCTCTTCCTTCCCCTCCTTTTCCCGTTCCGGCTTCGAGCCTCGGTCGGGAGGCGACGGAGGAGGCACCACCACAACCACCACAGTTAGGAGTGTCTAGGCGGGAGGATTAGGCCTCCTCCTTTCTCCTCCTCCCTTTTTTTCCCTCTTTTCTCCCCCTCAGGTTTTTTTTCCCCCCTTTCGTGTGGCGGCTTCTTTTTCCTCCCCCTCAGAGAGAGAGAGATACACACACACTTTATCCAAAATGGCGGCGGCTCCCCCCCCTCACATGGGGTTTCTCCGCCCACTATTATCGACCGAGGGAGGGAAAGGAGGAAGCCGCCGCCGTCGCCTCACGGCTCCCGAGTCGGGAAGGGGGAAACAGCTCCAGAAACAAACAAAAAAAAAGGAGGAAAGGAGGGGGAAAAAAATTTCCCTCAGAGAAGGAGGGGCGAATCCACGCACGGGCGGCGGACGGCAAGCGGAAAAACGTAAAAAACGGGAGACGACGGGAAGGGCGTTTAAATGGCTGCGAGCTGGAGGGCGGAGGGGCCAATCGGAAGAGGGCTAGGAGGCGGGGCCGAGGCGTTGTTGTTAGGGGGCGGGGTTTTTGGGGAGAAGGGCTGGAGGTTGATTTTGCGGGCGTGCGGCCGGGCGGGCGAGAAACGGCACGGCAGGGCGCCTGCGCACACAGAAGAAAAGCCTGGGTCGTCGTGTGCTTTTTTTTGATGGATTTAGAGAAAGGAGCATGCGCAGTAAGAGGGAGGGGTTTTTTAAAATGTGGGTGGGTTATGCAAATACTGGGCTCAGAGTGGGCGGGCACCATGCAACAGGAAATGAAATCTATCCAATGGGCTGAACGCCAGAGCTTGCTGGCTCCGCCCATTCGGGTTTGCTTGCATTTTTCCCATCCTTTTTTTTTTTCCTTGGGGAGGAAAAATTGACAGCAATCTGCGCGTAAAATAAACGTTCAGGCCGGAATTCAACAGGTTTTTTTAATTTTATACCAGTGGAAGCTTTACCTGTGCGGTTTCTGCCTGTAAGACTTTTAAAACATTTTAATCGTCCTTTTCTTATTTTCCTTCCAGCGTCTGCCTAAAATAACGAAGCATGTTGTGCCTCCAAGTTATTTTTTCCACCTTTTGCTTTTTTAGAATGGGATTAAAACTCTCCTATGCAAAGAAGAGGAAGCATCACAAGAAGTTATCGTTCTTAGCAATCGCCATCATCACGCAAGGCAACAGCTCAATATTTCTTTTAAAAGAAAATAAGCACTGCTGCATCATTAAAAAAAGAGAGGAATATATGTTTAACTAAAATAATAGAAGTGGGCTATAAGGCACAACAGCTTATGCCAAATAAATTATGGTAGTCTTAAAAGGAAGAAAGCAATCTATGAAATCAAGAACTTATCCTCGTTATTGTCTATGATATTTTTGTGGGATTCTTGCAGAACCTCCCCCATCCAGTCATAGATCCCATTTATGCTCCCAGATTTCAGCACAGAGACCGTGGATCTTTTCCCCAGACCCATCTTAAAAGATCCAGAGGACCGTTTTTTTATAAGAATATGAATGTTGTTCACTATTTTGTATTGTTAACCGTTGTGGAGCAGAAGCCATGGTTCCTTTATCTCAGAAATCAAGGGGTGTATTCTTTGGATTGGATCGGTTGAATGTGGCCTTCCAGATATTCGAAGCTGTAGCTGTGTCGATCTGTGCAAGCATTTTGACACGGCAACTCCCGTCTGGGCTAGCCATCACAGGCAATATTGAAGAATGCTCTTAAGATTATTTACTCTTTGCCCACTCTGCTCAGTATAAACAGTACATCCCTTGGCAGCAATAACAAGGACTTTTCCAGTTTTCAACCCTCTGCTTTTTGAGTCGCTGTTGATGATCAAAAGACTTTGGAAACTGGGAATCTTGCACTGTTCAGGAGAAAAATATCTATTTGGCCCAAGAAAAGCATCAAGTGTGGGTAAAAATGACACACAACCCAGTTCACAGCATGGCATAACATTGGCGGATGTGAAATGCATGGCTAAGAGGCCACACGCTGATGAACAGGTCCGGGAGGGTGATTAAAATCTGAACCTCATAATCTACTGAAAATAAGGAAATGATGCTGTCACCTTCCAGTTTAATGATGATGAATTGGATCTGGCGAACGGTCTTCCCGTGGCCACTAAGGGGCAGTCACATGGCACCGCAGAACAGCTTGAAAGGAAATTTATGGAGTTGTTTTAGGTTTGGCAGAAGGAAAAGGAAAGGATGAGTAGTTTAAGAAGAGGATGTTTCAACCCGCCAGTTTCACGATTTTTCAAAGTGTCTAAAAATATATATATCAGCGCTTATAGGGATAAAGAAAGATACTGGTTGTCGTTCAGGATTACTTTGTGACCTGGGCAACCATACAGATTGGAAAAAAACCCCACCCTGCACAATTCATAGACCTGTAGATAAGCAAGCAGAACAGAAAATGCAGGCCTGAAGCCGTTGCAAAACATTTTGCCACCTGAGGAACAATAACAAACATGCAACACTGGAAATTCTGCAACCATTCTACAACCACATCCCTGGCATTAAAAACATAATAAAAGCAGGCTAAGTACCTAAGACCCGTCCCAAAACTGAGACTTGACCCAACTGTCTCATGATAGGGCCGGTCCTGAGCCGGCCAATTGCTCAGAGAGACTGGAGAAAACCTTTACAGGGCACCCAGAATATAAATACAGATAAGCCTGGTTTGTTAAAGAGCAGTTTCATAATTTATTTATTTTTAAAATTAAGCTCCAGGATTCATTAGTTTTAGCAGTTTAGGTTTTTCGGGCTGTTTGGCCATTTTCTGGAGGTTTTTCTTCCTAATGTTTCGCCAGTCTCTGTGGCCGGCATCTTCAGTTAGAACTCTGTCTGTGTTCTGGTGTAGTGTGTGGGATACAGACAGAGTTCTGACTCTTGTCCTCTGAAGATGCCGGCCACAGAGACTGGAGAAACATTAGGAAGAAAAACCTCCAGAACATGGCCAGGCAGCCCGAAAAACAACCACCATCGGATCCCGGCCGTCAAAGCCTTCGAGAATACATTTAGCAGTTTACTTCATTAGCAAGCAATTTTCATACCAAATTGCCAATCAGCATTGTTTAAACTGTGTACTGGAATGTCACTAAAAAGTTATTGTTCTTAGCAAGTTTACAACATTGAAACCAGGGCGGATTCAAAAGCTCGCCATGTTGATAAGAAACATTTGCTTTGTCTCCAAAGAAAGAAAGAAAGAAAGAAAACGGCTTTGGGTTGATCGTAGCACCATGCAAAGTTTTGCACACAATGGGGACAAGCCAGGAAAGAAAAGAAAAAACCACAGGGGCATTCTTGATGTGAGATACTGCCCCGTACAACGTTGTCCAGGAAAAAGGAGGTACAGAAGGAAAGTCAGCTTCCATTTGGTGGGCCTGATAGGGGTTGCTCCGTAGAAACAGCGTTGCAACCTTAAATGGTTGTGTATTTTCCCTTTTTGTTTCTTTTTGCAACTCACTGGACGGTTCTTGTTTGTTTGTTACATGCATTGATAAAACATGTGATGCATCAGCATGAAAAACACCAGGTTTGTACACCATGGCCTTGTTTGAGAACACCTGCAAAGTTATAATTCCCCCGTACCTGTCCTGCTTCGTTCTGGCTAATTTGTCTCCCTGTAAAGTGTTGGGACTTAACAGGGCCATAGAATTTAATGAGCATAGCTCCAAATGTGCAAGGCTGCAATCGCCATCGTCCCCAGCTAGCAGGTGGACGATGGGGGCTTGAATCCGACACAGTTGCAGGCATTGTGGCTGAAGAAATCGGAACTAGACAATAAATATTATTCTTCCTTTCTTCTTTCCTTTTCAACGGTTTGTGTAGGTGTGTGTGTACACACACACATATATAAACATAGAGAGACAAGACAGTCAATTCTCAAGTAAGCACGGAAACCTAACACAAAAATATAAGCGCATGATCTGGCTACAGAGCCCAATCCAGCAACCACAAGGAGATGAATGTGACCGAATGAAAAGGCGGAGAAATTAGCCAGGAGAAGTAAATGCAGAAGAAGGAAGTGGTTGGAAGACAGCAAAGGATGTTATGTGGGTTTGAGAAGAATTTACCACTGTTGGCTTGGGTTTCATACATAGCACTTCCTCACCCGTGGCCAAAAAGGCGGATCCTCGCTGTTTTCAGTATGCACTATACATGCCAAAGACAGTGTTCATATCCCATGTTCTGGATAGCTCTGTGGGATCTGACTGCAAAACCAGAGGTTGGGAATTCGATTCCCCACTGGGCCTCCTTGACAGGAACTGGATCCAGTGATCCATAAGGTCTTTTCCAGCTCTGCAGTTCTAAGAGGATGATCTTCCAGTGTTTGAGCATTATAGCCCAAAACATCTGGTGGACATCAGGAGGGGAAGGTTGTCCGAACCTACGGCCAAGGCTTTTTTTATGTTGGCATGTGGCTGAACACAAAAGGCGAGGTTGCAAACCGTGTTATACGCACAACCTGTTGAAGTTCTTAAGGCACAGATGTGAATGAATTGCCTGATTTTTTTTCTTCAACTCTCTCTCTGATTTTCAGCTCCTCTACAATGCAAAAAAGCATGATGCCAGACTCAAAGTGTTTGTCTTGAGGGTGTCTCCTTGTCAGCTTTGCTGCCCCTTGCAAAGGGTGCAGCCCCATAAAAATGTCAGGATCGGGCCGGCAGGCCAACCGGCCACTTCCTTTCAGAGCTCAAAGGTCTGCTGTCTGCAAAAGCACAGAAAGCAGATGTTTGCCGTCAGATGCACAATCCAGACAGCTGGTGAAAAAAAAATGTGTGCCTATATACACATGCGCTGGCATAGCGGCAGGCAGCTCTTGTCTTTAAGGAAAAATAGGTACACTGCCTCTGCCTTAGGAGGTTCCATCTTTCTGCCCTTCTGACTCTCGCCACCCAACACAGGGGCTCCAAACCTTTTGAGCAAAATGCACATTTCCCTTAAAGGCAAGAACATCTGGGGACCTCCCAGCTGGAAATCGCTGAGCATCTGTCTCCTCTGTGCATCTCCTCTTGCTAAGGAGGGGCTGGGGATGCCCTGCAAACTTTCAGGGGGGTGCAAGATGCACCCCTTTTATAGAAAAGGGGGAAAAGCCAGCAGGTAGTCCAGTTGGCA